TTTTTTTTAACATTTTTCTCATTTTTACATTTTTGAGGGAAATTACGCATTTTTTTCCTCTCATTTTTTCACTTTTTTGTGCTTTTTTTCCTCGTCCTCTATAGATTACTCGTTTCTTTGAAGAGGCCGAAAAGTAGCGATTATTAAATAGCTTGTTTCCTGAAGCTAACTTTTCTTCCTTTTTAGATGGACTTAAATCATAACAGAAAAATCCAGATATTGAACCAAGGTACTGCATTTAGCAATGAACAAATCATAGTACAATATATGCATGTTTCATCCCTTAGCTGCAAACACAGACAGGGCTGTAAATTGACTTGTTTTATAGGTATGCAACCGAAGTGGACGTGGATTTTGTGCGTAAAGCAGTACGTGCTATTGGTCGTTGTGCAATAAAAGTGGAGCAGAGTGCCGAGAAATGTGTCAGCACATTGCTCGATTTGATACAAACAAAAGTAAACTATGTTGTACAGGAAGCTGTTGTTGTCATTAAGGTTTGTTTTTGTTCTTTTTTCATACTTGATGATTTTCGTTGGTCGAAACTGAGATCGATTTGGGCGTATGTAACTCATAACCTCTGTAATGTTTTTGTTTTAGTTTGGGCAAAAATTTTTCCAGGATATTTTCCGAAAATACCCAAATAAATATGAAAGTATAATTTCGACACTTTGTGAAAATTTGGATACACTTGATGAACCGGAAGCTCGAGCATCCATGATCTGGATTATTGGAGAATATGCAGAACGCATCGATAATGCTGATGAGCTATTGGAATCATTCGTCGAAGGTTTTCACGATGAAAATACACAGGTGACAATCTACCAAGCCATCGCGTCTTTAAAGTCATCCAGTGATAGGAGACTGAAAATATCGAAAGTTTATATTTTTCTCGAGAAGATTTATATTTTAATAAAATATTTTAATGTTGAAAGGAAGAAATTAATAAAATTGTAAGTTGAAGTCTGAAATAATTCCGCGGAAAAACTCGTAAAGTATTTAAATTGTTTTGAATATATTCCTCGATAATTCCCCAAAACTTATAAGATTTTTTTTTATTCCAGGTTCAACTGCAATTGCTTACAGCGGTGGTTAAGCTATTTTTAAAGCGTCCCAGTGATACACAGCAACTTGTACAACGTGTTTTATCACTGGCAACACAAGACAGTGACAATCCTGATCTGCGTGATCGTGGTTATATCTACTGGCGATTGTTAAGTGCCGATCCTGCAGCTGCAAAAGAGGTAAATTGTAGTTTCGTTTTTTTATGAATTCGTCTTTATAATTTTTCTGTTCTTCATTTCGCATTTATATTTTTTATTGCATTAAAAGTGGGAGTAGTTTATGAACGGAGTTTCTCCTTCTCTGGCCCCGCCCTCCCCTTCCCCCTCCCCCTCCCCCCTTTCCCCTGCCCCTCGTCTGCTCCGCTCACTTCTCGTATCCACTTTTCCCATTTAAGAATGTGAGAATAGTGCCAATTTATTGAAAGCAACCATAATTATTTTTTTTTGTAAAATTAGGCTGCCATGAAACGTAATAAGTTGAAGCTTTTTTCAAAAAAGATGGTAGCTTAGCGAATTGTTGTATTTCCTCCAGCATTCACATTTTAATGTGCTTCAGAAAATGATAGTTCTGAAAGTAGGTAAGCAAATCCGAATTCATAAAAAAACTGGGAGGAGGAGAGGGGAAGAAAAGAAAGGGCCGGAAAAATAAGGAAGGTTAGGCCCACGCTTTCATGACGTAATTATGTGTCCGTATAAAGTTTCGTTTGAAACCATAGAGTGTTGGGCCGGGGAGGGGGCAGGGGAAAAGGGGGAGGGTGAGAGATGGAATTGGATGATATGCAGATTGAAGTGCAAAAGGAGAGGATTCCCCTGTATGAGTATGAATTGTAAAAAAAGTGAGTGGGTACATGTTTTATGAACATTTGCCACTTGGTATGTGGTCGATTGTCACTAGATGGTGCAGCTCGCTAATCCTAATCCCTATCCCATTCCATCATCCTTCGCCGCACGTTTTGGTTCTTTGGGTGAATCCATAAAATCGATCCTTTTTTAATAATAGTGAAATTTGAATTCAAGTTATATTAATGTTGACATAGGAATAAAATGAAGTATATCAGCATAAAGTCTTTGTTTTGCGTTTCGAATTCCAAAGGAAGTTCTGTGTAGTTTGGACATAAATATTTAATCACAAAATAAAACTGTTTAAAAAAAATTGGGTTTTAAAAATAATTACCAAAATGTCAAGACCGCTGGGACCATCGGTGCGGGCATTTCTTGTTCGTTCATATTTCTGGGGTGCTGCCAAACGCTGGGCACAGCTCTACCTGGGTCTTCACTTTTGGGCTGCGTATTTTTTAGTTGTTTCTTATTATATTACATTAAAAGTATGGTAGTGTCGTAATTTTGCTTTCGGGCATAAGGAGTTCAATTCCATCAGTGGGGAAACCGAACGCACTCTACAATTTTTATGCGTTTTTTGCAGCAATGCAATGCGAAAAACGCATACTGACGAGAGGTTGCCTGTGTGT